GTAAGTCTAATACAGTACTGTAATTTTATACATTTCTTGTGAAAGAAATATTTCTTATTCAACGGCCATAAAAATTATTTATATTAATGATGTCTCCAAAGGTCAAGTTATTTTTCTGCGAAAAATAACTTATTAGAAATCGCGGCCGCCTGTCGATGTGCTGTTTCGCGACGAAAACAAGCTTAATCAACGGCATAGTCGAATGGTGCACACTCAGTAAGTACAATTTTTTGTTTATAGCATAGTTTATACGGATTATTCCCAAAAAATTATGCATGTTTTGGAAATATTGAGTTGAATAATTAGTCTAGAATCGGTTAATTTTATGGAAGAAAACTTTTCAAACAGCCGTAGTCCGTAAACTTCACACGTGTCAGGATGTTATTGGCTCATGTATTTAAGGATTCCTACAACGTAAAATTCTTATAGCGTGGAACGTATCTGCGCGTTATAAGGGGTCTACTGTATTTTTAATTTATTGTATTTAAAATATATGCTCTTCACCTCAAATTAGTAGTGGCTTACTGCTGTACCATACATCATACTTTTCCTTTAACAATAGTGCTGGGGACCTATCCTGAGTTGTATCATTAAGCTAACAAATATGATAAAAACCAGTTTCTATCGGAACCAGGTGATTGGTGTTTAATCAACTGTAAAAATGCTATTCCAAGCTGTACATTTTGTTTTCAGTTTCGATAGTTATTGCATGTGGCTAAGTTTTTCTTATCGATTATTCTCAAGGTGTCATTAGGAACAAAAGTAAAAAGAACACAGCCACTTTAGGTGTAAGGATGATATTACTTCACCAGCAATTGAAGAGAGAGAAAATTAGAGCATTGAGCTTGAAGGGAGCTCAAAATTTTCTACAAAAAAGAAAATTGAATTTTGATATAATTTTTTTTTTTTCCAAATCAACAAACTATAAAAAGTAAAGTAATTACATTTCTAGTATTTATAAAATTATAAAAGTATAAAATTCATTTGATTTTTATAGGTAGCTTTCTGTCATTTTTTGATCATAAAAAAGCTACTAAAACAAAATTTTTAGTTTCCTTCTTTAAATTGTATCTTTTATTATTAAAATTATTTCCACCATATTATAAAATAAGATAATATGGTGAAAATAATTTTAATAATAAATGTTTTTTGTTAAAAAGTAATATGTTTATGTTAATTCTCTTTTTTATATGATTGACTTCTAGAATTGTAAAGGGTTGGTAAGGGGCCTCACAGAGAGTTTGGCTCAGGGCCTCGAAATGCCTAAATCTGGCCCCGGTAGAACTGAAATGTTTTACTTATATCTCAAACTGACAAGTTGTTGTTCATTGGCTGTGTTGTCCCTTTTTTGNCTTAATTTATTGTAATTTTGTTATAATTATATATATATTTTCCGCCGCGTAGCACCACGCTACGGAGAGTTTAGGCTAACTATCGTCTGTTCAGTATGTAAATTAGGTACCGCAAGTCTAATACAGTACAGTAATACCCTGACTTACGCGATTTTCAAATCTTGTCGATTCGTCTTTTGTTTGAGCGCCACGCAACTTTTAATTACTCATTTCCCCCCACTCTATTGTTCGGCTTATATGTTCAGACGTGTTTGACATATAGCTACAATTTATTTTGTTATTTGTATGTATTTATATGCAAAATTATACCCCAACTTACGCGAATTCAACTTACGCGGTTATCACTCGGTCCCACCTATCGCGTAAGTTCGGGGTATTACTGTACTGCAATTTTATACATTTCTTGTGAAAGAAACATTTCTTATTCAACAGCGATTAAAATTATTTATATTAATGATGTCTCCAAAGTTCAACGAATTTTCCGCAGAAAAATAAGTTATTAGAAATCGGCCGCTGTTTGCTGAGCTGTTCCACGACGAAAACAAGCTTGAGCAATGGCGATGTCGAATGGTGCATACTACAATTTTTTGTTTATAGCATAGTTTATATGGATTATTCCCATAAAAAATATACGTATTTTGGAAATGTTGAGTTGGATTAGTCTAGAATCGATTAATTTTATGGAAGAAAACCTTTCAATCAGCATTCACACGTGTCGGGCTGTGATTGGAAGGACTCGTAAGAAATCGGATTCCTAAAAAATGGAACGTATCTATGATCTTATAGGAGGGTCAACTGTATTCATTAATTCTTTTACGTAAAAATGTTGCAGATAAAAAGAACCTGATCTGTAGATAAAATTAGAAGCATGTAAAACAATAATTTTCTGACAACAAGCAAAACTAATACAGTAAAAATTTTGGAAACTACAATCAATCCATATTTTAAAAAATTCATCTTCATTTACTTTTAGATTTAAGTTCACAGAAAATTATTTAAATATATAAATCTTAAAAAGTAACTGCAAAAATGTTTGTAAAGAATATATTTATAATAATTACTTAATTCTTCTAGAGCTGTATTATACTTTTCCCTTTCATTCTCTAACTGGGATTGAAGATTATTAATACACTTGCTTCTTTCTTCAAGGTTAGCATTAAGTTCTGATACAGAACGCTCATAATCAGCCATTTCCAAGCTCAACAAATTTTGTTGTTTAGCTTCCTGTAATAATAGACTTTGTTTCAATATTTTTATGTGATGTAAATTTTAAAATAATAAATTAACCTTAAGAGCTTGTTCTAATTGCTGAGTTGTGGAAGTGTGTTGGAACCTTTCCATATTCAATTGATCTTCTAATTCAGTTACTTTTTGTATTTTCTTTTGCAATTCGGCTTGTGTTTCATTATGTTTCTTAGTTTCCGTTTCATGGACAGATTCTAATACAATTACTTTTCCCTCAAGCTCTGTTTTCATCTGTTCTAATTGCTAAAAAAGTTAACATGTTTTAAATTAATATAAAATTATTCATTCTTTCCATAATAATTTTTAAATCTAAATGGTTAATAATATAAGTATTTAAAAAAGTAGTAGTCTTTTTATTTTAATAAAAATTATTTCATTGATATTAGTTAAATAACTTTATACAAAGTTCACAAATTCTTCTGGAATTGTAGGCTGCATTCACATTGCCGATGACAATGACAAAACCAATTTCTTTATTGTCCGTCTTTATCTGTAAAATATTCACACTTGCTGTTCTTGTTGCATTTTCATCTTAGTTGTTTGTTGTTTGAAATTTAGCAAGATTCAACATTTCTCATTGTCATAATGGTATCAGCCAATTAACACGAACTTCCCATAATTCTCTTTGAACAATATGGAGGAATGGCTGATCTCGTTTTGAAAAAAGACCTTGTAAAGTCTAATGTAAATTGCACATGCTTTAACATGAAAACTAACGAACAATATTAATGCTTTGGCAAGGAACAAATATGGCAAAAGACACCATAATTGCCATTTAGGATCTGTAGTTGTTGGCTTGGTCCTCCGAAATGGGGGTTGAGCATCGAGTTTACACCCCTACCTTGTAAAAACATCTTGTAATAACACAAACAGGAAATTCACTGGATGGCTCTAAAATGGATGACTTAAGGAACAGAAAGGACAGTGAGATAGACAGCGAAATGATTTTTATAAATAGAAGAAACAGAAGTAAAAGGGAAAATAACAGGAAAAGGATGATGAAATATGTGTTAACAATAGGTACTTCAAATGTTAGAAGTTTATTTAGGACTGGCCAATTTAAAGGTCTTCAGAGAGAACTAGAAAGATATAATATAGCAATTGCTGCTATTCAAGAAATAAATTAGAAAGACAGTGGTATATTAGAGGGAGATAAATACTTAATAATTCATAGTGGCTGTGTAAATGGCCAATTGTGAACTGGATTTATGATTAAAAAAAAGCTGCAATATTCCATTCTAAATTATCAATGCATTAATAAAAGAATAACCACCATACGTGTAAAGGGAAGATTTTTAACATCACAAGGATGAATTTTATAGTGAGTTAGAGGAAGTCCTATGGATAGTACCAAAACATTATGTTAAACTAATACTGGGGGATTGGAATGCTAAGGTAGGAAGAGAAGAAGTGTATCAAGGAGTCATCAGAAGAAATAGCATTCATGAAAATAGTAATGACAATGGTAAACGAGTAGTGGACCTAGCTTCAGGACATAATATGGTGGTTGCAACAACAGTGTTTCCTCATAAAAGAATACATTTAGGTACATGGATTTCACCAGATGGTAATACTGTAAACCAAATAGACCATATACTTATCAATAGAAGGCATGCTACTGATATTACAGAGGGGCAGATTGTAGTACAGATCACTACTTGGTGAGGGCAAACTATAGACAAAAAATATCAATCAAACCAAGAAGTGGAAGGGCAAAAAATGCTATAAGATATGAAGTCAAATCTCTAAAGCAGAAAGAAATTAAAATTAAATATCAACAGGTGCTTGACCTGATGAAGGCAAAGGAAAGGAGACAGAGACCAAGAAGCATTGAAAAATGGTGGGAAGATATAAGATCAAGTGTCATCGCAACTGCAGCAGTACTTGGAAGTAGTAGAAAAAGAAAGAGAAATAGTTGGTTTGATATGGATTGTAGAGATGCATTAGAAGGAAGAAGAAATGTGAGGTTAAAGATGATTCAAAATGAGTCTGAAAATAATATTGAAGACTTCAAAGAAAAGAGAAGGCTGGTATCTAAATTGTGTAGGAAGAAAAAGAGAGAATGGCTAAATGCAAAGCTAAAAGAAATGGAAGAAAATAGAAGAACTAATGAAATAAGAAAATTCTATATGGAGGTTAGAGAAGAGAAGAAAGGGTTTCAACCCTTATTGTTGTCTGTAAAGGGAAAGAAGGAGAATTAATTGGTGAGAAAAGTGAAATTCTAGATAGATGGGCTGAATATTTTTAAATACTATTAAACAATGGAGTAGAATCTATAAGGGGTCAAAACAAAAATAGACAAAGAAGCCTCAGAGGTAGATTCTGAGGAAGAAGGAGAAGAATGTGAAAATGAGGGGTGTGAATATCGAAGACCAATCAAATTGAGATGGGCAATAACAACTCTAAAAAAACAACAAGGCTCCTGGGGAGGATGGAATAGTATCGGAAATGATAAAAGCAGGTGGTATGAAATTGGAACTAGAGATAGGCAAACTCATTAAGAAATCTGGAAAAGTGAACAGATACCACAAGGTTGGAATACAGGAATAATATGCCCAATACACAAAAAAGGAGACAAACTAGATTGTGATAACTACAGAGGAATTACTTTATTGAATGTAGTTTATAAAATTTTTTCGAAAATATTAGCAAAGAGGTTAGCAGTATACATGGAAAATATAGTGGGATATTATCAGTGCGGTTTTTGTAATAACCAGTAGATTTGATCAACTATAGATCAAATCTCCACAATAAGGTTAATTTTGGAGAAATGCTATGAGTATAATATTGAGATATACCAACATTTTATCAACTTCAAAAAAGCTTATGATTTAATTGCTAATATTTTTAGGTCATTAACTTTATTTAAAAGTTGTTATAATTTTTAAAACAATAAAAAAAAAAAAAGTTAGCCGAAGGTAGGATAGAACCTAGATCGCCCACATGGCAAGCGAGTTCGTTACAGAATCAGCAATTTTGCTGTGCTGCCATAGTGTAAAATCAACCAATATATGAACTGCACTTAAAATTTTAGAGCCCCTTTTCTCTGAGTCTTCTGGCTAGTGCACTTTACAATTCTTCTGGGTGGACACTCTTGAAGTATATTACTAACCTGCAAAGTCTCACCCCGAACTGAATTTCCGAGACCGTAAGGTCCCCTTGTTAGTATTAGAAGTGGTAATGAGGAAATGGATGTAGATGCAGGAGGAACAATTTTTAAGAAACATTTACAGTGCTTAGCATTTGCAGATGATATAGTTATATTGGGAAGATCTAAAGAGGTAATCAAAGAGGCATTTAAAATAATGGATGAAGTAGCAATAGATTTAAGGCTTAACAGTTAATGATGAAAAAACAAAACATATGAAGTTAATTAGAAAAGATTGTCAGGGGCCAAGTGGTCAAATTCTACATATAAAGGACCATAAACTTGAACAGGTGAATAAATTTCAATATTTAGGAACTCAGCTAACAGAAAAGAACAAAATCGATGAAGAAATAAAGGCAAGAGTGACAGCAGGATATAGAAGCTATTATACTTTAAGACGAATTCTAACATCTAAAGAAATATCAAGATGCATTAAGATCAGAATGTATAAAACTATTATAAGACCAGTAATCATGTATGGCTCCGAGGCATAGACACTAACAAGTAAACATGAAGAACAGTTGAGATGATTTGAGAGGAAGACTTTGAGAAGAATATATGGGCCAGTACAAGAGGGAGGAGGGAGGAGAGTGGAGAATAAGAAGTAATAAGGAACTTGAAGATTTATATGAAAATTCTGATATTGTGACAGAAATCAAAAGAGGGAGATTTTGATGAATTGGGCATTTGGAAAGAATGGACCTGGAGAGAAAGGTGTATCAAGTGTATAGAGAAAGACCAGAGAGGAGAAGGTTGAGAGGGAGACCACAAAAAAGATGGGATGAGGATGTGGAGGCTGATTTGAGAATAATGGGTGTGAGCTGCTGGAGAAGGAAGGCTCAAAATACAGTCGACCCCCCTATAACGTACGTTCCTATAACGACAATTCCTATAACGTAACGAAAAAATTGTAGCAACTTTCGTATAACGTACCTCCTATAATGTCGTTTCGCGACAAGATTNTATTTCTTTATTTTGTACAAAGAAAATAAATATATTGAAAAATATAAAAACACAAAAAATTATACTTTAAAAGTTAATCTAGTATCAAAAACGTTTGATTCAGCAGGACACAGTCTGACTGGAAAGTGTTCGGTTAACCAACATTTCAGTTGATCGACATTCAGATAATCGACGCTCTACTGTAATTATTTAACCTTATAGCCCAATAAACAATCAGGCTGTTCATTTGATAGTTTCATTATTATTAAAAATTTTTAAAATAGATTGTTAACAGGAAATTACCTCTCCTTCTTGTCTTTCTTGTGAAAATATATCAAATTGTGCAGGTTCTTCTGGCATGTGTGATGGTGATGAAGTTTTTTGATGTTCTTTCTGTAAATGGCTAATTTCTGTGTGTGCAACTTCCAATTGTTGTTGAAGCAATTTTATTTCAATTTCGTGATTTTCTTGAAGTGCATGTAGCCTTTGCTGTAAAAAATTTTTTTACAGTAATAACATTTTTAAGTGTATTTTTATAGTGTACACTACATAATAAATATAATATAATGTTAAAAATATGATTTCTTGAATGAATTTAAAACATTATATTTGATAAGAAGCTTTGATTTTTAATTATTGAAAATAATGTGTTTAAAAATAAAAAAATGAGTGTCTTGTAATTGGATAAATTCACAAATGTTTTATGGCAACAAAATATTCAAGTAATTTTTGAGATAAAATGTAAACAAACAACATAAAGTAAAATTTAGATTCATAAATCCATTTATATTTGTAAAAAGTTTGCTTATTAATATTTCCAACATCAAACATAAGCATATGATATTGACTTTTTTTAAAATTCGTTTTAAATATTTAATTGTTAAACATTTAACTGGCTTTCATAACAAAAATTTGAATTTTGATGTGATTGCCACAGAAATGTGCATTTTGTCAACAAGCAGTTTGCAGAGAATTGAGTCAGGTTTATTTTTGTAATTTGATATTTTTTTTTAACCAGAAAATTCTTAGTGATCAATTATTATTTATTTAAAATGTAATTCATTATACATTAAAAATTGCAGCTTGGTATTGTGACAATCATACAGTCGACCCCCCTATAACGTAAATTCCTATAACGTAGTGAAAAAATTGT